CGTCTCCAGAGACACTCAAGAACGCCAGGGCGGACCCCATGGAGGAAGGGGTCCAAAATGAGGCGGGGGCCGCCACGCAACCGTGTGAGGGGTCCAAAATGAGGCGGGGCCGCCACGCAACCCTGCCACTGGGGCCTTCGGTGGATGGAGCTCCCTATGGGGACACGAACCGTGTGAGAGGTGCGCCAAACTGGGGTGGGGCCGCCATGCGAACTCTGCCACTGGGGCCTTCGGTGGAGCTCCCTATGGGGCCACGAACCGTGCGAGGGGCGCGCCAAAATGAGGCGGGGCCGCCATGCGAACCCTGCCACTGGGGCCTTTGGTGAAGCTCCCTATGGGGCCACGAACCGTGTGAGGGGTGCGCCACAATGGGGCGGGGCCGCCATGCGAACCCTGCCACTGGGGCGTTCGGTGGAGCTCCCTATGGGGCCACGAACCGTGTGAGGGGTGCGCCAAAACGCGGGGCCGCCATGCGAACCCTGCCAATGGGGCATTCGGTGGAGCTCCCTATGGGGCCACGAAACGCTGTACTGGGTGGGTGAAACGCAGGGAGGAGGGAGGAGGAGGAGGAGGAGGAGGAGGAGGAGGAGGAGGAGGAGGAGGAGGAGGAGGAGGAGGAGGAGAGGAGGAGAAGGAGGAGGAGGAGGAGAAGGCGGGAGGGATGCGAGGCGCTGTCTTTTTAAAACGAGGACCCAACACCGCAGGATTGTTGGGAAAAAACAACTCGGAATGAGAAACACTGGCCCCGGGAAAAGGGTCACGATTTCCAGAGACCCCGTATTGAAAAATCAAAGCATCGGATGTCTACGACGTGGTTCCCAGAGGTATTGACCCTTCCCTGGGCCGATGTTTCATCCCGCTACTCGATCGACCTCATAGCAAACCACCCCCACCCAACCCGGAGTCGCCGTTGGGCCTGTAATTTTCAAGCGCCCAACCCAAAAATTGGGTGGGTCTGGGGCCTTCGTGTAGGTTGAGTGGGGATTGGTAAGTAATGATCTTTCAGCGTGCATTCTGACCAGACCATCGAGGCGACTGCAAACGTGGCGACGAGGGATTTCCAGGAGGCCAAAAATTTGGAGATGAAGCAAGGGTAGCGGTATCGGACATTGTTTCTCACCACACGCGGATCTGGCTTCCGAGTCACATCTCGGGTCGCTGGGGGCCGTTTGGAAAGATTCGGGCATCCCTGGAACAATCCTGGCAAAGCACCGATGTTGGAGAGGATCACGAGGCTTGGAGGCGGCCCAGAGAGAATCAGTCAAGAGGGGGGGAGGGGGATGAGGGCAGGTCCTCTCAAAATTAATCCCCGAACACCTCCCAGGGTCGAAACTGACCAGGTTTTCGAGCCGAGTCATGCCGTTGTGACGAGGGCCCCGTGATTCCCCCCTTTCCGCTGGCAAGAGCCAAGTGACAAGCCATCTCAGATCCCCAGCCGGGTCCAAGCCGATCCCGAGGACGACGGCGGCGGGGTCGACCGCGAGGATTGGCACAGGCGTGTCCCAGACCCCCCGCGTAATGTTTTTGACAACGTACACCCCAAGTGGTCTCGACCTACGGTTGGCATTGGAAAGATAGCATGCCGCATCGATCTCCGAAAAGCACGCCAACCTTGCGAGGCGATCCCCCCGCGAGTGCTCCCTCTGTACACACCATCTCCCTGTCAAGACCTCTTCGGCACACACCATGCCAAAGGCGGGGGATAGCGTGCGAGAAGCGGGCCAGCGGAGCCAAATCGAAGGCTATCTTTACAACGCCAACCCTATTCTCCGGGACTGGCTTTGCATCCTGAGTCGTTTCTTGACGGTCCTGAGGCCAGGCGAGGGCCCCTTGTAGAGGCCGCAGATTGTCAAACCCTTCCCTCGTGATTTCAAGACGCGAAGATGTGGCTTTCGGGTCAGAACTCGCGAGTCGTGCACCGCCCGAAAGCTCTCGGCGAGGCGTAGCTGCTGGAGATGATCCAGAGAATATAAAATCGCCGATCTGAGGGAACGGCGATTTTTGTTGACCATCGGAACCTCCCGCCGTGAGTTCCTTCACGACGCGAGGCTGACAAGCGAAGGCGGCAGCGGCGGCCGCGGCGGCGACGGCGGCGGCGACGGCAGCCTCGTCCTCCTCCTCCTCCTCCTCCTCCTCCTCCTCCTCCTCCTCCTCCTCCTCCTCCTCCTCCGCCTCCTCCTCCTCCTCCTCCTCCTCCTCCTCCTCCTCCTCCTCCTCCTCCTCCTCCTCCTCATCATCATCATCATCATCATCATCATCATCATCATGATCATGATCATGATCATGATCATCATCATCATCATCATCATCATCATCATCATCATCATCATCATCATCATCATCATCATCATCATCATCATCATCATCATCATCATCATCATCATCATCATCATCATCATCATCGTCGTCATCATCATCATCATCCTCATCCTCATCCTCATCATCATCCTCATCCTCATCCTCATCCTCCTCGACCCTCCTCCTCCAACTCCTCCTCCTCCTCCCCTCCTCCTCCTCCTCCTCCTCCTCCTCCTCCGCCTCCTCCTCCTCCTCCTCCTCCATTCCTTTCCTTATAACTAATTTCTCCCTGTCGCACCCCGAGGCCAGTTTTTAGGGCGGGCCGGGCGTTTCGCCAGAAACTTCTTCACCACTTGTGACCCTGAAGCTTACAAAGGTGCAGAAGTTTCACGGATTGACGGCGGATCGTTTTCAAAACTCGGCTCTTGCCTTAACGCCGCGCACATTCGTGTTAAGATTTGCAAGAGCTTCACGGGTTGAGGGCGGGTCGTTTTTTTATGTGGCTCTCGCCTTATCGCCGCGCACATTCGTGTTAAGAACGGGCAAAAGCTTCACGGTTCTCGCCTTAGCGCCCGCCACGCACATTCATGTCAAGAATGTGCAAGAGTTTCACGGATTGAGGGCGGGTCGTTTTCAATTGTGGCTCTCGCCTTAGCGCCGCGCACATGCGTTTTAAAAATTGCAAGAGATTCCCGGATTGAGGGCGGGTGGTTTTCAAAATGTGGCTCTCGATTTGCAAACGTTTTACGGATTGAGGGTGGTTCCTTTTGAAAATGTAACTCTAGCCTTAGCGCCGCGCACATTCGTTTGAAAACTTGCAAGACTTTCACGGATTCCCATGATCAATGTAGCAAAAATGGTGTTGGAAGGATTCAGGATTCTGCGGGTGAGACAGTTCTGTTGATCCGCAGTATTGAAAATGGCATTATGGCACGATTCAGGCTCAAAAAGACGCAGCAGTCAGGTTGATCCATGGCGTTGAAGTCCCGAGAACAATGTTTTGGCATGCTGCAGGATCTTCAATCGGTTGTCTTCCAACGAGGCAGTTCCTTCAATGGAAATGAACCATTCTAGGGGCCTATGAAGAGGAAGCTTGAAGGTTTATTTCAACATCGTTGATGACTCTTGGATTTGCACTGGTCCTCCTCCTCCTCCTCCTTCTCCTCCTCCTCCTCCTCCTCTTTCTTCTCCTCATGTTCCTCCTCCTCCATTCCTGTTCCTTATACGCAACTTCACCCTGTCGCACCCCGAGGCCAGCTTTTAGGGCGGGCCGGCCGGGCGCTTCGCCTGAGATTTACTCACCATTTCTGACCCCAAAGCTTAGGCATTGGCAGCAGCTTCACAGATGGAAGGCGGGTGGTTTTCAAAATGTGGCGCTCGCCTTAGCGCCGCGTACACTCGTTTGAAATAAAACATTTGCAAAGCTTCACGGATTGTGTGCGGGAGGTTTTCAAAATGTGGCCCTCGCTGTAGCGCCGTGCACATTCGTGTTTAAAGTGGTAAGAGCGTCACGGATTAAGGACAGGTCGTTTTCAAAATGGCTCTCGCCTTAGCGCCGCGCACATTCGTTGAAAAGTATTGCAAGGCATCCACGGATGAAGGGTGGCTCGGTATCAAAATGTCGCTCTCGCCTTAGCGCCGTGTACCTTCGTTTTACACATTTGCAAAAGCTTCACGGCTTGAGGGCGGCTCCTTTTCAACATGTGGCTTTCGCCTCAGCGCCGCCCACATTCGTTTTTAAAAATTAGAAGAGTTCCACGGGGTCCCATGATCAACGTACCAGAAATTGCGTTTTGGAACGATTCGCAATTATGCGGGCGCAACAGTTACGTTGATTCGCAGGGTTGAAGTCCCAGGAATGGCGTTCTGGCACGGTTCAGGCTCGTCAAGACGCAACAGTAAGGTTGATCCGTGGCGTTGAAGTCCCGAGAACAATGTTTTGACATGCGTCAAAACCTTCAAACTGGTGTCTTCCGACGAGGAAGTTCCGTGGAGATGAACCGCGGTAGTAGCCTATGAAGAGGGAGCCTGGAAGGAAGGCTTATTACAACATCGTTGATGATTCTTGAGTTTACACTGGTCCGCCACATCCTCCTCCTCGACCCTCCTCAATCCTGGGCGGTAAACGAACCATGGTGAAGATAATAGGCATCTGTAGAAAACGAAATGTCAGAGATATCTGTAGAGGGCAGAAAAAATCAACCCCGGTAATGACCACCCCGACGCGCGAGGCCGTTTAATAAACGCACCCAAATAAAGAATCAAACAGGGCAGGGCTGTTTAGTATACGCCCAAGGCCGTTCAGTAAACGCCAATTGTCCGGTCTGGGTGGTTTTTCCTCCCTTGAATATGGGAAGAGAAGATATGAGAAGTGTCCGAGTACTGGCTACGGGTTCTGTGAGGCCAGTCGGTCAGCGCACTGCCCCTGGCGCGCCTCAATAGCTTGGCGGTACGTGGTCTCCTCCTCCTCCTCCTCCTCCTCCTCGACCCTCCTCCTCCTCCTCCTCCTCGACCCTCCTCGACCCTCCTCCTCCTCCTCCTCCTCCTCCTCGACCCTCCTCCTCCTCCTCGACCCTCCTCCTCCTCGATCCTCGGTCCTGGATCCTCGATGACGATCAGAACCTTTCGCCGTCATTTTGTTCACGACGCGAGGCTGTCAGGGGACGGCGGCAGCGGCGGCCGCGGCGGTGCGCCCGCCGAGCCTCTCGACCGTCGTGGCGAGGCCGCGGTGGGCCAGGACCTCCAGCCGCCCCTGGCCGCCGCCGAGGATTTTCGAGGATTCGAGGATCGAGAATTTTCGAGGATCGAGGAGTTCGGGGGTCAAGGATCGAGAATTTTCGAAGATTCGAGGACTCGAGGATTTTCCAAGGTCGAGGATCGAGGCCGAGGATCGAAGACTCGAGAATTTTCGAGGGTCGAGGATCGAGAGTTCGAGGAAATCGAGGACTCGAGAATTTTCGGGGCTCGAGCTCAAGGGGTCCGAGGTTCGAGAGGTCAGAGGCTCTCGGGGCAACGCATCACTGGGCACCAGCCGCAGCGGCCTGGACGGCCAACGCCTGCACCAGGCGCGAGCGCGAAGGGGAGGCCGAGGAGGGCAGAGCAATGCGGAATCACATTTAGAGCGAGGCCTTCGGCCGTTGGCAAGGCTCTCGTCGGGGGCGACGATGGGGGCGAATAGCCGAGAAGCGGGCGTTACACGCATTCGCCCAGGAGCCTCACCGAAGGCATGCATCACCGTCGGCCGCCGCGGCGAGGAGAATTGAAATACCCCGAAAAGGCAGGACGAGAGCCCCGGACCACACCTTCCTGCGCAATTGTTCGGGCACGATCGACAGGTTAAGCCAGACACCGGGCGAGAACGCCGAACTCGAAAAAATGGCAACACCAGGATCTCAGGGGAGGTCAGCCACGCGCAGAGGGGGATAGGGTGAAGGGGCAAGGCTTAGGAGGAGGCTGTTTCTTAGAAGGCGCGGGCCTTGTCTGTAGATGAGAGGCCCGTGAGGCCAGCACCCTCCAAGAAGCAACCTCCTTCTAAGAAGCATCCCTTCCTCCCCCCTCCCGCTTGTGCGCGCCGCCGAAGAGGGGCGGGAAATGTGGAATCGTATTGAAATAAGGGCGTTCGGCCGACCCGCGACGAGGCCGCGGTGGCCGCGCGGACCTCCAGCCGCCCCTGGAGGCGCGCGCGGGCGCAGGATCCCTCGGCCGGCCGCACGCCGTGCACTAGCGTCGGCCGCGCGCCAGCCCGGCCGCAGAGGGCCTTGTGCCCAAGATCCGTTGGGTGCCGAGCATTTCCGTTGAGACGCGACTCGGAGCACCCCCTGAACGCGCTCTCGGCGGGGCGCGGCTACGGGAAAGTACCCCGAAGCTGAAAAACCGACGAGAACCCACGAAGACGCCCGGAAACCTCGAAGTTCGAACCGCGTTTCTGGGATCACCGCGGGGGGTGGGCTGAAGGAGCGGGGGGTAAAGAGCGGATGCCTGGGTGAGTATATCTGGCCCAACCTGCTTCGTAAGTGGGTATCCATGCCCCTAGGGGCTTCCCCGCTAAGTGGGCGGGTCCCACTTAGCCAGAATCACCAATCCGTCTGAGCCATTTGGCCCGTTCGTAGACCATTCATAAAGCAGGTCGGGCAAAATATAACCACCTTGGCACCCGCGACATCCCAATTCGCCAAACGGCGCATGGGGTAGCAGATGGGTGGACTGGACGGTGGCAGTCGGTTGCAGAAAAACGCGGCGCGCCGACGCACGTGGAGAATGCGTTCGCGGCAACTCACGCGAGCCTCTCATACCATCTTGCTGGTTCTTGCGAATCGACGCTGGTCGACGCGAATCGTCGCCAAATCGTCGCCAATCGACGCGAATCGACGCGAATCGGCACGAGATCGGCGTAATAGCATCAACTACCTGGCGCTTTTCAACGCTAACGTATTCTAAAAACGGAATAGCGAGGGCACACAAGGCTCGCACGATCTGCTGCCGAAGAGAATGCCACAGCGGCGCAGGCACACAATTCCCGCAGGTGGCCCCGCTTGCTGTCGAGGCGCTGGGAAGAGAACTGGGACGCCTACGCATCCTTGAAAAAAATCGCGAGGCCAACGCACACGGCGCAGAATCCCGGAGACCCGCGCGGAATCGCCTCGAGCTGCACGAACGCACAGGTACCATCGCGCCGACATAGTCGAACGCGCCAGGAGCAAGCGCACTAAACAGCGCCCGTCGCGCACTGCCGTTAGTAGTACAGCGGGCGCGACGCCAAGCAGAGGGCTCGCCCGCGCGCCGCGCGCGACTCTGGACGTCCCGCGAGGCTCAGAGCGCGCCCCAAGAACGCCCAGCGGCAGATGGCTTGAGCCATGCCTACAACGGTAAAAGATACCGATGGCTGTGGGGCGGAATACTAGCACACCCTGGCACTCCTGACTCGCAAAGGAAAACAAGAATGAGGCTGAACGCTCACAACGTCTTGACAACATGAAACAACCTGTCGCGGAGCCGTGCATATGGCATATGGACACTATCACAGCCCCCCCTTCCTGGAACATCTGATACGTCGGTTGGTCTGACCTGCCACAGGGATATGCGCGACTGCGCCGCGAAGACTCGCGGATACATTCGCACGGTGTAAAATTTCGCGCGGCGGTTACACAATTTCGCGCGACCCTGAGGTCGTCGTTTTGACTCGGGACATCCTTCCACTTTGCGCAACCGCGCCAGGAATAAATTGTTGCGCGGCACCTGGCTATATTTGCGCGACCATTGTTGGTTATAGTTTGGCTGTGTTGGTTGTTTTTGTTACATGTGGATTATATGTCAGTTGTGTTGGCTGTAAGTTGGCGATTGTTTGGTTACCTGTTGGATAGTGTTGTTCTACATGTGTTACTGCTGTCTGGTGTTCAATCACGTGTTGATTTGATTGTATGTTTCCAGCTCTATGTGCACTCAACGCGTACAAATCTTATGACTGTGATTGTGTCATACTAGACTCGTATATGTGGTGCACGTTCGGTGCCAAAACGCACGCACCATTCAAGGGACGTGTATGTCCATGGTGATGCGATGCTTGCACCTCGTCCTCGCTGCTCCTGCTACTTCTTATCTTCGCATTCCCCCCTCCTCTCCCCGCTGCTGCTGCTGCTGCTGATCCTCCTCATCATCCCTCGCATTCCATCCCCTACCGAGCGCCGATGGCTACTGATCCCTGGTTGTGCGTAGCGGCCGCAGATGTCGCGCGACGTCAGGCCGTCGCGCAGGCCTCGCGCGAACTTCTCGGATCGGCGGGCGGAATACTCCCACAGGCGCACAAGCGCCTACCAGCGCATTCCACACCGCTGCCGCAAGCCGAGCGCAGCCGCGGTCGCGCAGCCAGCGGCGCCGCCAGAGCGCCCCTGCGCGGCTCTGCCCGGGCTACACGCGACCCGAAGCGCTGCGGCCGGCCTCGTGCACGCGACTTCTGGGTCCCCACGGAGGCCGTGTCCCGGCCACGGGGCTGCCAAGAGACGGGCGAGGATGACAAGATGGCCCTGGGGAAGGGATCGAGATCCCAGGAGGCCGACGCCACGGAGCCGGCTCCCCCGCGGTCTGGATCTCCTCCCAGGGACCGTATCTGCGCCGGGCCGTGTTCTGACGGTCCAAAGGCCTGGCGAGGGCCCCGGAAGCCATAAATTGCTCAAAACCTTCTGCCCTGATTTTTCCAGGACGCGAGGATGTGGCTCTCGGGTCATATCTCGGGCCTCCAGCGACAGGTCGAGACGGCTCGGGCAACCCCAGAACGCTCTTGGCGAGGCGCAGCTGCTGGAGAGTATCCCGAGGCTAGAAAACCACCGATCTAAGGTGACGGCGGATTTTTGACGATCAGAACCTCCCGCCGTGATTTTGTTCACGACGCGAGGCTGTCAGAGCACGGCAGCGGCGGCCGCGGCGGCGACGACGGCGGCGGCAACGACGGCGACGGCGACGGCGACGGCGACGGCGGCGACGGTAGCCTCCTCCTCCTTCACCTCGACCCTCCTCCTCCTCCTCCTGCTCCTCCTCCTTCTCCTCCTCCTCTTCTTATGCGTCTTGTTCGTCTTATTACTATTCGTCTTGTCGCGTGTATTATTACGATTAGCATTATGATTATGATTATTAGTCTGCTGATTATTAGTAGTGGCATGATTCGAAGTATTAGTCTTCTTATTGTCATTATTAGTATCAGTAGTAGCGCTCGTCTTCTTATTACTAGTGTCATGTATTAGTACCACTCATAGTATTATCATTATTCGTAGTATTAATCGTATGTTTATTATCATGTGTATCAATCCTACTCTTATTCTGAATGAAACTATTATTCCTCCTCCTCATCATCATCCTCCTCCACCTCCTCCTTGTCCTCCTCATCCTCGATCCTCGGTCCTCGACTCTCGATCCTCGACCCTCGACCCTCGACCCTCGACCCGCGACCCTCGACCCTCGACCCTCGACCCTCGATCCTCGCTCCCTCGATCCTCGATCCGCGATCCTCGACCCGCCCGAGGATCGAGGATCGACGGCAGCTGCGGGTCGAGGCTCGAGGGGTCGAGGATCCAGGGATCGAGGGTCGAGGGATCGCGGAGCGAGGATCGGCGGCGGGTCCAGGGTCGAGGGTTCGAAGATCCAGGGATCGAGGGATCGAGGAGGATCCAGGGGTCGAGGGGTCAAGGGTCCGCGGCGGTCCTGGCCGGGGCTCGAGAGCGGCGCGCCCGCGGGGGAGGCCTCGCAGGGCGCGAGGGGCGCACGTCGGGGCCGCGGCCGCGGGCGCCACGGCGGGGAGCGTGCCAGGGCGCGCGTTCCCACGGGGCGCAGAAGGAAAGATGACGACGGCGACGGCGACGGCGACGGCAGCAGAGGCGGCGGCGGCGGCTACGACGGCGGCGACGACGACATGCGGCGAAGTCCCAAAAGCCTTCCGTCGTGATTTTGATTGAGGATGCGAGGACGTGGTTTTCGGGTCGTACAGCTAGCCCGTTCAGTAAGGATGCGAGGTAAAGATGCAAGGGCCTTGGAAGGCCGTGTCGACATTTTGCGAGCTGGGCGCGACCAGCGAAGGCGGCCAAGGATAGGCCGAAGGAGAAGGATGCAAGGGTAATCTTGGAAAGTTGCTCATCCTTACCGTCAAGGTTGACTGTATCTCGGGTCTCCAGCACCAGCTCGGGACGATTCGGGCACCCCCAGATAGATCTCGACGAGGCGCAGCTGCTGGAGAGGATCCCGAGGCTGGGAAACCGCCCCGACCTGAGGGGACGGCGGCGGCGGCGGCGGCGACCGCGAGGATTGATTGGCGCTAACCCACGCTTGCTTTGGACGGCGGGAGGGTCTGGGCCTGGGCAGCCTGCGCGAACCGCGCCGTGGCAGTGCCCACGCGCGGGCTCAGTTGCTCACTCTAGGGACCTGGAGCCGATGTCCCACCCGTGCGTCGATGCTTCGCCGAACGTCCTAAGACGAAGCCATGACAGGAACATGCGCGGGCAGGGATAAGTCGGGAATCTCTGAGATCTGATGGACCTGGAGGTGCATCTCGTTGCAACACAGTACAATACAATTCATTATCTGGCGCAACACATTTGCAATACGATTGTCCCAAATTTATTGCACCACGCCCTTTCAGCTGGACCCCCTTTTGGATCACGAGGACTAGCCCCGCCCAACATCCGTCCACTGGAGTCGCACCTGAGTCGAGCTGGAGTCGAGCTGGAGTCGCGCTAGTCGAGCTGGAGTGGAGCTCGAGTAGAAGTGGAGGCGAGCTGGAGTCGAACAACACCGCTGGGTGGGAGCCGGGGAGGCCCCCAAGAGGAGCATCTGACGCGGGCGGCGCGCGGGCGCCTCCAGGAACGTCTCGCAGCGAGGGGGCAGCGCGCCAGGGCGCGCCGCTCCCGCCAGGCCCGAGGCCTCCGCGCGAGCGCGCGCGGCGCGGAGCCGGCCGGACGGCCGCGGGGGCCCAGGCCTCCAGGCACCTCCAGGCACCTCCAGGCACCTCCAGAAACCTCCAGACACCTCCCTCCAGAGGCCTGCAGTTGACCTCCAGGGACATCCGAAGGCCTCCCCCGGGTGAACCTCCAGAGGCCTCCGGGTGAACCTCCAGAAGCTTCAGAGCGGCCTAGGCCTGGCCCAATCCTCCTCCTCCTCCTCCTCCTCCTCCTCCTCCTCCTCCTCCTCCTCCTCCTCCTTCTTGTCCTCCATTCCTTCTCCTTATAGATAACTCCCCCTGTCGCACCCCGAAGCCAGTTTTTAGGACGGGCCAGGCGTTTTGCCTGAGACTTCCTCACCATTGATGACTCTGAAGCTCAAACAGTGCAACAGTTTCACAGAAGGAGGGCGGGTGGTTTTCAAAATGTGGCTCTCGCCGTAGCGCCGCGCACATTCCTTGTAAAAAATTGCAAGAGCTTCACGGATTGAGGGCGGGTCGTTTTCAAAATGTGGCTCTCGCCTTAGCGCCGCGCACATTCCTTGTAAAAAACTGCCAGAGTTTCACGGATTGAGGGCGGGCCGTTTTCAAAATGTGGCTCTCGCCTTAGCGCCGCGCACATTCGATTTAAAAACTTAGAAGAATTTCACGGATTGAGGGCGGCTCATTTTCAAAATGTGGCTCTCGCCTTAGCGCCGCGAACATTTCACTTAAATATTGCAAGAGCTTCACGGATTGAGGGGGGGTGGTTTTCAAAATGTGGCTCTCGCCTTCGCGCCACGCACATTCGTTTCAAAATTTGCAAGAGCTTCACGGATTGGGGGCGGTTCCTTTTCAAAATGAGGCTCTCGCCTTAGCGCCGCGCACATTCGATTAAAAAAATCCAAGAATTTCACGGATCCCCATGATCAACGTACCATAAATGGTTTTTGGGAAGGACTCAGAATTATGGGGGTGCAGCTGTTATGTTGATTCGCGGTGTTGGAGTCCCAATTCGCCAGGCCCTCGGGCAAACGGCAGACATGAGACTGTATGGGCCGGCGGAATTAGCGAAGCGATTAAATAACGGTGCTCTGGCACGTTTCCGGATCGTCAAGAGGCAGCAGTCAGGTTGCTACGTGGCGTTGATATCCCTAGAACATTGTTTTGGCATGCTTCAGGATCTCCAAAGGTTGTCTTCCAACGAGGCAGTTCCCTCAATGGACATGAACCGTTGTGGGGGCCTATGAAGAGGGAGCTTGGAGGGAGGGTTTATTCCAACATCGTTGATGACTCTTGGTTTTACTCTGGTCATCCTCCTTCTCCTCCTCCTCCTCCTCCTCCTCCTGCCTCCTGCCTCCTCCTCCTCCTCCTCCTCCTCCTCCTCTTAGAGGGCTGAGGGCTGGCGTTCTGAATCCCACCAGCCCTCTAGGCGCAGATGGTCGAAACGAAAATGGTTCTCTCCTCTCCCGGAAGCCCTTGTCCCTTCGGGGAAGGGCACCCTGCCCCCACTCCTCTCCTCGCTGATGTTCTCCAGACAGACTTGCCTATAGGAGCCGCAGTTTAATGCATAGAGAACTAGTCCACTGCTAACCCTCCAACCCCTATATGTTGCTCTTGCAAGCTTCAAAATATGCGCATGGCTTCCTATGTATCCGCATGGCTTCCTAATATCCGCACGGCTGCCTCGTCTCCACATGGCTTCCTCTGTATCCGCATGGCTTCCTGGTATCCGTACGGCGGCCTCGTCTCCACATGGCTTCCTCGTATCCGCATGGCTGTCTCGTATCCGCACTGTTTCATCGTATCCGCACGGCTTCCTCGAATCCAAGTGGCTTCCTAGTTTCCGCACTGGTTCCTCGTATCCGCATGGCTTCCTCGTATCCAAAGGGCTTCATCGAATCCGCATGGCTTCCGATAGCGAGTAAGAGTAGGTGAATAGAGTAGAGTAGAACAGAGTAGTGAGAAGACAAATTTAGAGTAGAATCGGTGTAGAGTCGGCTAGAGTTGAGTAGAGTATAGTAAGGTAGAATCGAGTAGAGCAGAGTGGACTAGACTAGAAAAGACTGGACTAGACTGGACTAGACTAGACTAGAATAGTATATAATCCAATAGAATATAATGATCTAGTCAAGTTATAATATACTTGAGCCGAAAGAATGGAGCAGAATATAATAAAACAGAATAGAGCATAGTAGAATAGAATATAATTCGTTATCATTCAACCAAATATAACATGGTAGAACAGAGCAGTGTAGAAATAGCTAGACGAAAATATCATACACTAGAATCGAATGTGTTGGTAAGCACAGACCATAACATAATGTATTAACAAATTAAAGAGTAACATTAATATAAGAAAATGATATGAAAGAAAAGCATGTAATATGGCAGGATGTACTATAATCGAATACCACAAAATCGAATAGATTACAGCATACTGGAATATAATTGGATATAATAGAATACAATACGTTTATTTAAAAATATGGGACTACGATCGAATATAACAGAATGCTATAAGGGTAAAAGGTAAATTACAATAGAATAAAACAAAATTGAATATGATAAAGTCGAATATAACATAATAAAACTGAAATATACTAGAACCGAACTGAATCGAATTGAACCGACCACTGTAGAAATATGCATAATAGTACAGAATAGAATAGGGAGACATATAATATAATAACATATACAAGATTAGTACAGAACAGGACATAACAGAACAGAAGAGAAGATAATGTAATATAATTCGAATCGAATAGAGCGCACTTCGCGGGCGCTTGCTTGGAAAAATACTCACCCACCCACCTGGGAAACCCAGGGTGGGGGAGTATGCTCCATCCCTGGTTCTGAGGGGGGGGGGTCCCCTTTCCCCACCCCCCCTGGGTTCAAACCTGGGGGGGGAGGGGGAAAGGCGGCGACTACGACGACGACGACGACGACGACGACGCCTACGTCGATGCCGACATCGACGCCGAGCACGAGGCCAACGCCGACGCCAACGTTGGCGACGACGACAACGACGCCGAGCACGACGCCGTCGTCGTCGCCCCTACCTCCCGGGTGTTCGAACCGGAGGGGGGGGGGACAGTTCCCCTCCTCCCCTCCCCCCATGGCGGGTTCCGAACCCGGAGGGGACCCTAAAGGCGAGCACAGAAAGCGCTCTTTGGAGAATAGGGTATGATAGGGTACAGAACTACAGCGTAGAGTAGAGTAGGGTGGAAAGTAGAGTAGAGTCAGGCAGATGGTAGAGTAGAGTAAATTAGGATAGAGTAAAATAGAACAGAGCAGAGTATAATAGCGTAGAGTAAGTAGAATAGCGTAGAACAGACTACGACAGAGTAGAGTGGAGAATATTATATTAGGATCGAGTAGAGCAAAACAGAGCAGGGTAGGGTAGAAAATAAAGTAAAATCGGGTATAACAGAGTAGAGCAGAGTAGTGGTGTGTAATAGGAAAAGTAGAATAGAGAAGTGACGAGTAGAGTGGAGTTCAGGGTAGCCCAGTCCTGTATGGTCCACTCCACCCCAGTCCAGCCCAGTCCAGTCTAGCCCCATGCAGTCCAGTCGACTCCAGCCCAGCCCAGTCCACCCCAGTCCAGTCCAGTCTCGTCCAGTCTTCTCCAGTCCAGGCCAGTCCACCAGTCCAGTCCAGACCACAACAGTCTGGTCCAGTCAAATCTAGTCCAGCCCAGTCCAGTCCATCCCTACCCAAGTCCAATCCAGTCCAGGCCAGGCTAGTCCAGCCTAATCAGTCTATTCAGTTCAATCCACTTCCACCAGCGTGTCCAGTCTGGACACGCTGGTGGAAATCGCAAAGTCTTTTGGGCTCGAACTGAACGTATCCAAAACTGCATTGTCAAAAGAGCGCGATCGGATGCAAACGTCGCGGGGCCTGAAGGAGATCGGATCATGTGCAAAGAAGAAGCTGTATACTTGGACGGGCTACTGAGTGTCGACGGGAAACCACGAGCAGAACTCACGCGCAGGCTTGGCAAAGCAAAAGGAGCATTCGAAAAGACCAGCGCTGTGTGGAGCCACGCCAACTTGACCAGACAGTACAAAATCCGCATTCTGGATGTTTGAATGTTCGAAGATGCTATACGGTTTAGACTCTTGCGACAGCTTCCAGAGATCGCCTCGACAGCTTCCAGGCGAAACGCCTCCGAAGAATCTGCAAAATCCAACCTGCCTGTGTCTCTCGCGTCAGCAACGTCGAAGTCAGAGCAATTGCCAACTCCAAGCGTTTATCAGCGGGCTTATTGAGACGATACCTACAATTATATGTTATATATTACATTAGTCAGAGACTCCCCAAGAAGCCTGCCGAGAGCAATGGTGTTCGAGAGTGGCAGTTGCTAGCCAAGGCGATGGAACAATCTACGCTCTCGTGGACGCCCGCGCCTGCAACAGGCTACATATATGCACGCCCAGGCGCTAGGGGCCCTAGAGGCAGCAGGGGGCAACACTGACCAATTGCCTGACCTGCTGCAAGGCTCTCCAGCTCAATAACACGAAGCCGTTGACGACTATTGCATGGAATCGTGTCCCCCTGCTCCCTTTCCCCCCCTCTCCCCCTTCTCGTTCCCCGCTCTCTCTCCCCCTGCCCTCTTGCATGTTCAGCGTCCGATGTGCGAGTGTGGTGGCACCCGCCGCCCAGCACTGGCATACGCACTGTGGTTGTGACCCGGCGCGCGCGCATTCAGTAATGTTCTGCACATTGTCTCTGGCCTTTGCTTTCATGTCCATGCGTGCCGAAGCGCCGTCTGGGCACGGCTTCTTCCTCTCCTGTCCCAGTCCAGCCCACCGCAGTCCAGTCCAGTCTGCTCCAGTCCACTCCGGTCAACTTCGTTTCAATCTGCTCCTCGCTTTGGAGCCTGCGCTGGCTGATCTTTTGCGGGGGGGGGGGCGCGAGCCGGCAGAGCGCCCAAGATGGCCCAAGGCGGCTCCAACAGGGCCCCCGACGCTCCAAGATGGCGCGCCGCCGACCACGGAGTTCG